TGGGCACCACGCTGCACTTATTTATGTCCCCTGTGCCTGTGTTTGAGTGCGCATGTTCACCCAGAGTAAAAGACCTCTCAATTTCTACTGGCATGTGAGCGATATTTGGCTCCGCTTATGTCTCCTGATCGCAAGCTCCACTGAGGGGAAATGGAGAAGGGTGCGTTTAGTAGTGCGCTGATTACCCATTCTATCCACAAGTGGAAGAAAACAGGTATGTAAAAAAATTTTACTTGTGCTTTCTCGTCTGCCGGATGGCATTTGATTTATGAAAAGGATATGAGATTTCATTTTATGAATGAATGACTACATCTATATGTCCAGGCATTTTCGTACTCTGATGATGAATCTGGGTACCCTAGGTAATATGTCATGAATTTTGGACTTGGATTTTGACTGGAACGGTGTATTTACAATGCAAGCTATCAATACACTGTGTATTACGTAAAGTGTTCATTTTGACAACTCAGTTTAAATATTTTTGTAGTAGGACACTGCTTTATTTCTTATGTACAAAACTCAGTGTTGGAAAATTGAGCAGTCAAAACCCTATTAGCCGAACACTTTGCCGAACCTGCACTTTTATAATATGTGACGCCGATTTAAGTATACAGCCTATTTTAGACTCAAAGTGATGACAAAATCGTTTTCACTTGGTACGACAACGACATATTTTGTTCCCACAATATGAAGAATTATTCTAATAGCTGTCGTGGTTCTTCAAGCAATTATAAAAGCAGTTTTAAAAAGCTGCCTGGCAGGATAAAATCTTTAAGAAAACCAAAACAAAATTTGGGAGATAGCGATCTCTAGTTCACATTTTTGAACAACCTTTCTCAAAAATAAAGAGATGACTTGTCGGTTTTTTTTATCAGGACAGGCCGAGAGGGCTGCGCCGTCATGAACAAAGGTGGAGTGACGTCAAGCACCTAAGTTTTGCTGAAGTCGTGAGTCCCATCTAAAAGAAACCACCTGAGTTCCGACAGGCCGGTAGTCATTTTTATCGAAATCCCTTCCAGTAGACATTGAATGAGGTAATATTAGGAGTTCGATGAGGAATACATCAGGGGCATCTTATACTGACTAACTTATGTTCAGCGAATCCACATCTCACACTAAACGCGGACTTTGCATGTCACTTTTATTTTTGCTACCCTTTTGGAACTTTTTAAAATTAAGATGGCCAAAATTCATTGCCAACCTGCATTCAAAGTACGGATGAGTGTAGAAATATGACCACGCGTGAGAGTAGACTTAAGCTTCTGTGAAACTTTGAATTCATTACGGCCGTTGTCGGTATCTTAGAGTGATAGTAAAAGGGGAACGCTCAATGTGCAATAGTTTATCCGTAAACGACATATTTGGGTATAAGATTCAGATCCAGAAAAATATTTATGACCTCTAGTCTTCTGGGGTTCCTTCTAATCACGCAGAGTTGTGTTTGATACGCAGGATTGTACACTAATCAACTCAAAAAAAAACAATTCAGTCGGTGAAATCGTGGTAGAGGTTTTTTGGTTTCGATGTTGCGCATATCAACGTTGCAGATATCCTCAAAAGTTTGTCACCCTGTCTAATGTTAAGTATGTAATTAATTTTCCTACACACACACGATTGTAATTCCTTTCTATGAGTGCGCAACTAGGGGCAAGCAACGACAGACGTATGGGATACGTCAACACGACAGCGGATAGTAAAATGTTTATTCGTTTTAGCAAAACTGAAATTGGTTGAGCTGACCACAATTAACCAGAAACGCAAAACTTCTATGTCACACAAGTTGCGCAACCTAATTTAGAGCAAATATTTCCACTCCATGATTGCCACAAAACTTGACACGGTGGTGTAACTTTGGTGGACAAACCCCAAGTTAGACGTCTAGACTTTGGTTTTTGGATTAAATACGAGGGAATTGTATTTTTGGGAAGACGGGAATGGCAGTTTGCATCCTTTGCACGAGTGTTCACGCGATAGCACAAGCTCCTTGCTTCGATCTTTCGGTCGTTTCGATTAGGATAACAACAATATACAGGATTATTTAAATAATATATGACCACGTACATTTATTAAACAAATTATGATTTCGTTTTTGGTTTTATTGTAACTTTGGAACAAAATGTTATAAGGCTATTTTTGAGGGCCTAACCATCTAGAACAAATGTAAGACTGCAACCTGAATTCACTGTAAGCCGAATCCTCAAAATTGGTCTTGCCAGATTTGGACAAGTGTGGGTGATTATCGAGTTCAAGTATGAGCAATTACACAAATACTGAGGGAAGGATGAATGACCGACGGAAAGGATTCAAGGATAAGCGGGTTCAATTTCAGTCCGGTAGTTATTTTGGGAATTAAGTTCATCCGCCTAACGTCAACATGCTACTTGTTCAATGTAAAAACAATTGTTTGCAATGCAGAAGTTGTCAGTGACTATCATTCGGTGTCGGATCTTCAACATTCTAACCCAAATTTTTTAGACAACCATAGTATTTGGAAACGAGGGAAAATGCTACCTTCCCTTAGTATTTCATCGAATTGCACATAACATTTTCGACATGTTGGTCCAATAGTAAAAGTTTATAATCAAGCTGACTGTTAGTATAACTTGTTGTTTTAGGCCAGTTTCTTTCAAAAGTGGGAGTGTGCGTTCCGAAACCGGCAAAATGCTGTGGTCAAAATCGATTGGAGACAGCGTATACGCTGCTTTGAAAACACTTGAAGGAGGACAGACAAGAAGTTGTTGGGTTGGACATGGGTTTTACTCAGTAAGGACAGAAGCTCAACTACCAATGAACCTGTTTCAGCATAGTTCACTGCAGCGGCAGAGGATTTACTGTGGCGGATCTGACCATGACAACTTACTACGAGGTGGTGTCTGATAAAATCAAATTGGAAAATACAATCCGAAACAATCAGCTTGTGGGTAATGGATCATCGCGACAGGGCACTAGTCCAGTTTTGACGCTATCTTGCGAGTACCTTCTACCCCACCCATTTGGGTGCATTCGATCATCTCTTTATTTTAAAACTCCAAGTGAATGGCATAGAAGTGGGATAAGCATCAGTACGTGGGTTGGTTTACGTTGAGTTGCTGTTATTTACATCAAGTATCATAGAGGTCTTGCCTTTCTTCATTAGCATGACCGTGGTTTGATGATTTTGCGCCTCTCTTTTACAATTACTGGTTTTAAAGCCAATACTACTTTGGTGGTTTATTCTATGGAGCGTTGTGGTGAACCACAGCACAAATAGACGGATTTATGTATTGAACTTTCAGTCTTTATGGAGCTGAAGTACAGCAAAACCTTATAGCACTAGGTGGGTCACACACAGCCAAGTCCAGCTGTTTCAACGCGTGAATCGGACAGCCAGTTTGGTAGGTGACTTTGTGATAAAACTTCATAAGTCGATTCGGTTGCTGAAGTCGTCTTATTAATTTCAGTGTTTTACGTACGCTTCGTCGTGTGCTTTAAGTCCCTTGAGATAAAGAATGTGACCTCGCATCATGCAAGTGCAACCTACCGCCACACTTCTAGCCCAGAACTTCTAGAATAATGAACAATAGCTCCCCTCGCAGACCTGAGCAGATGGATAAATATTCGAACACAGCACCCACAAATACTTGGTATTCTGGTACTAAATAAAAATATAGTTAACGTATCTTTGACCAACCATTTTTTAGTTTTGATGATACCGCTTACACCATGATAAACCTTAATAAGATCGCGGTAGTTCCATTTTGTTTTCCTTGATTACCACCACATCAATTACTTCATTGTCTAAAGGTGTCCGATTAGGGTTAAATATATTTCTGCTTTCGAAATAAAATTTCCCATGCACGAATTTAGTGGCACCAATCTTCGGACCGCCACAATGCTTTTGTACTAAAAGTTGACAGTGTTATATTAACACCTCTAATGTTAAAGTTGTCCTATGGAAGTGCCTTGAATTCGAAGGACAGCAAGTGAGTCGCTCATTTGTGACTTCCGTATTGTCACACGGGTCTCTGTACCTCCCATTATTTATAACTCCCTCATCCTTCTTTGTGGTGTGAAATGGGCATGTTTTCGGGTCACTTCCTGTCAAACTGGGCCCAAAAAACGACTTTGTCCTTTTTTATTAAATTCGACAACCAGTATTTAACATCGTCTGCTGGGTAATTAACCTTTAAACACCGTTTAAGTTAGCTGTTTGGCAAAGCTAAACAAACCCAAGGCTGATGTTCATCAGTATGGGGATTAAGTGCGAATATTGGTCAAACATGTTAGTCAAAAAAGCATTGTTTATTGTACATTGTTTAATTCCGTCTGATGGTTGACACTTTAGCTGGAGCCTAGGAATAATGCCGTTTTTATTTTGGGTCTAAATGCATTATGAGCTCAAAACGAAGTGCCGATACATAGCGTATAGCAGTTTAAAAATTCCAGTCCTCCGTAAGTGTACACCAATGGTAGGTTATTTCAGATAAAGTATCTATTTTGGGGTTGTTTGTGCCTGGCTTTCACGTTTGTCTGGATACAGAACACGGGTAAAACAAGTTCTGGAATAGAAGCTTGAACCTCTAAGCAAGTCATTGTATGACTCAAGACAGGTTCAATCAATTTGACCCTTACAGGGTCAATTAAAGAAAAATGGGAAGATAGATAGATTGGCATCTTGAAATGCAACAAACCAGCTTCAGTAGCCGCATTTGATGGAATCCAAGTTGGATTTTGGTTTGATCATTATGATTCACACAATGGACTCACAAGCAATGGTAGAAATTTATTTCTTATTCATTTCTGTTTTACGTATTAAATGCGTCGATTTTGCCCGATGTTTGCTGGTATTAATAACTTCTCGTTACATTCTTTCTAGGCGAAAAATGCACATTCCAAACACAACTTTAGTTTGGTAACCAAAGAATGCGCAGGCAGTCACTTTTAGACTTCCTTGTTGGTTTCTATCAGGGATTAAGTAAAATCAATTGCTCAAATTTGGAGTGCCTTTTACAAATTACAATTCACTTACTCGAGACAGATACTTCCACCATGTTCGTTTTCATTGACGTTGCGGAAACCGACTTCTGTGACTTCCTACTGACTATATTATCCGTATTCTGCCAGGGGTTATCGATTGGATTGGTAGTGGGTACTGCGGTATCCTTGAGTCGCAATCTTCTGTGAACCCCACCTTGGGAATCATGCCGGGCGTCACGATCAAAGTCCATCGCTGAAAAGTGTCGCGAGCACACACGAGAGTGTTGAGAAGGGCTGAAGTCCTTCCTCCCACAGGCGATAACCCAGGCCGCCGTGCGGGCCAAGTCTCTTCGAGGGAAGCGAAAGAAACTGAGGCCCCTACCGTCATCAGTTCGATTGTGGCAACCGGCGAAACAACACTGGGGCATTTTTGAAGCACAGTCTGCTGCTGCGTGATGTGAGCAAATGTGTGTGTGTGTGTGCATGCGTCGACCCAGTCTCCGTGTTTCTTCTGCTGTCTTTCCCTCCCCTGTGAATTGCGCACACGTGCGCACCAGCGCACTGGCCGCTAGCAGGCGCGGACACCAGTTAGGGAGTGCGCACGTGCGTGCGTCTGAGGCCAGCCCACTCACGGGTTTGACAACACACAAACTCACACCACGACGATGGAGTTCGCGCTCCCCTCTTGCAACTCCCGAGGGCTACGAAACTCTGACTCATCACCGAACATGCGTAAACTTGCCCGAAATTTCGTGTAATATTGTGATCTTGGCTATCATCCCACAATTTGAGCGCCTTGATTACTAAATCTCCCCCTTCACGTTCGTCGGAAACGTCACGGTTTCAAATTTTTAAAAGCACCAGTTCCAGAAAAAAAAATTCTGTTCAAATTTGGAGCACGAGAGCATAGTCGATTTATTCACACAGCCTGGCTATGGTCCCAGCTATCCTTTTAGAAGTCCACGAACAGTAGTGGCCACAAAGCACACAGTAGCGATTCCCACTTCTTCATGAATATTAAAACTTAGTACCATGTGGGTTAAGCGACTTTTAAACCACGAATAAGGAATGCAAAGAAATAGAGTCTGAAGATAATAAATATTTCTGTTTGCCGTTTGCTGTCGTGCTGTTGAGTCACAGAGTCACTGATACGGTGGTCTAATGTACTTCGGTTGGCTTCTCTTAACAATGACAGTTGGGATCTCCAAGAAAGTTGGCGAGGCCTGAATTGAATTAGTAAATAACAATTGGGTCTCTTTCAGCTAATTTCCAATAGCCAGGTAGATGTTTGCCTCACCAATCGCACGTTAGGCTCCTCATTTTCTAAACAATTTGCAGGCCCAACTGATTGGACTCTGCACCCTTCCAGTTCAAATCGTGTAGTCCATGTGAAAACCCTTCGACGGTCATAACCTGTTACTAAATTTAGCTACATGAATATCATTTAATAGAGAATCATGAAAAAATGCCAACCCAAATACTTAATCTAGCGGTGTCGGCAACTTGTTAGCACCACTTCGATCAATGTGCTGTGTGCTGCAGCCAAACCGAATTCCCAAACGCAAAAACTCGTCTATGCGTAAATGCATTGATTGTTGGTGTAAATGCTTGGTGGAAAAAAAACCGGAAAATAGAAGAAATTGTTGAATTGTGAAATTAGACAAAGCTCGTCAAAAGTCATGCTTTTTGGTAAAATCGAAGTGCGTATTTTTGAAGTTCTAGTTCGACCAGCATTTTTCTAAAATCAACGGCTCCGTGGACACTAAAGTCTGTTTATTGACTTTTAAAGCACGCCATAGCCCCTCTCTACTCAAGCACCGTTTAGTGTTGGCTGAGGAAAGAATTACGAAACGCTCCAATGTCGTATTGAATCATACCCTCAGTCCCGAAGCCAAGCCACAGTTGATGCTAGCAGGCCAATTGATTAATTATCTTCCCTGTTTGCTGACTCAGCGTCTCAGCCCTTTCGGCAGTCTTCCTGGAGTTGTCCTCATCAAGCACACACGCACGCACACACACTGTCCCAGAGCAATCTCCTCTCCCCCTCAGCACTCATGACCCCGGCTCGGAGGGGGCTGAACTAATTGGAATGCGGTTGATAATAATTTACCTGAAATACGGTAAAGCAGCGTACAAGGAGTCATGGTAATCCTTGTTTTCCGTCTATAACTTCAAAATCTTTGAACCGACATTTTCTTATGACTTTTATTCCAAAAATTATTTCGGAGATCCAGCTTGCAGTTCATACTATTCAGCACCATTTGGAACTTTTTCTCAACCAATTTAACTTGCTTAAAAGTTGGCGGAAGCGGATTTACAACTTTGCTGATGGAATATAGGAAGTTCGCGTTATCAGTACAAATGATCTTTCTACCTCCATTGGTTATTAGTAGAGACGTGAATACTCAAGATGTGATTAGAACTGGATGTTGGCTTCGTGCGCCCTAGGCTTACTCATCTCACAAGAGGCCCGTCAGATAATTGCACGTTTGGCCATATAAAATAAAAGCATGACGACATTTTAAAGTGAGGGAGTGTGCAAGACGTCACAAAGTGGTCATGGCAATTTAAACTGTACAGATATTTTGAACTGAGAGAAATTTTCTGGGTTGGAGGTATTTGGACAGCGATTTGCCAGCTTTGAAGAAACGTCGTTTAATAAGTCATTTATTATTAGTTCCTAGCAAAATACCCAATCGGCTCGTAACGTGATATGTGAATTAAGCAGTTGATACATGGGCTTGAACAGGACGATTTCAGGCATTTTGGAGGCTTGCAATGATGTGATCGTGTCAACCTATCCTGAAGACTCCAACCATAGTCATTTGTTTAAGCTCCATAATATGATACCGCAAAACACCTAGTTGCGTTTACATTGGTTGTTTGCTTTTCTTTTTGTATGCTCGTTTCTGTTTACGGTCCCCCAGAAAGCAGCCAAATGCTCACACAGGCCACATCTCACCCCAATTTAATGCTGCACTTAATGCGTAAGGTCTCTAAAACAGATTGTAGTTTCGTTTTTTGTGAAAATCCGCATTGTTTCATAAAGAGGCCAACTGATGTTGCTATGAAAGAGGGATTTTACTAACCTACTTTAACTTAATGCGTAGTTCATTGGACTCTCGAACACGAGTCATTTAGCTTCGGATATCTTGGTGTTTGTGCCGTACAACCTTCTGATTTTCCCCTTCTAACAGCAAAAGTCCAAGAGGTACAAACCCTGGCTACGTCTAGAAAATCACCTTCAAGTTCGTAAATATGCGATGTTTGAGGGACCCACAGCCCCAAAATAACTTGTTTAGACACAGCTGGATAGTTGCTAGAACAAAATTATGCTCCCAAACACCCGTGTCCAACTCAATCTCACCACCAGTCAAAAGTCTGAAGCAGTGCGGCTCGTAGAATTCAACGAATCAACATCGGCTGTAAAGTGCAAGTCATGCCATACTGCATCTACCACATGGGTAGAGGCTGCTACTGCAAGGTCACAGTGGGAAAAAAGACTTGATAACGTACTGGACAGACGAGTTGAAGACTTCACATTCACTAAGTTATCCTTATTTGCACTCGTTCCAAAAAATTTCCAGACCAATAGAAATTTGGCGCGTAGGTTTTGTCCACAAACACGATGATGACAACGCTAAGCTAAATTCCAGTTTTCGCATCAATAAAATTGTGGTAGAATCATTATTTTATGTTTGACATCGAAATTTGTTAACGAGGGACAACACGCATTTACGTAGACGAACTTCGGTGGCTAGCTGACACATCTTTGCACACTTCCCGCATTCGAGTTTGAAGATAGAACTCTCCCCGAGTTTCAATCAACTACTCTACTACCATTATAGACAATTTCAACCGTTCATCCAAGAACTTCCAGTGGCACTCGCATCTGACATTTCTCAAATACATTTCACTCTGTTGATTAGGGAGTTGGGAGACTTGCTTCTTTCTTCCTACCATCATCCGCAATTCCCCTCATCTCCATTTTCTTTGTAGTCATCTTCTGCTGCGTATATGAGCCTGCTGTCTCGAGGAATTGCGTGTCACTCATGTTAGCTAAGTTTTCTTCCCGCCGAAATTCCTGCTTCAAATTGTACTAACATGCCGAAAGCGTCACGGAATTACTTTCGTCTTTCTCGGCCGGTGAATTGCTCAATCTGAATTTCTTCCCCCTGATCGACGTTGAACATTCCAATGATGTCAACTTACATGTGCCCCCAACGCACAATAATCACCTATAAACAAACCTCTATTTTTACCTGATTCCACTAACTATTTTCTGATTCGATCATAAAGTAGTTCCTTTAACATCTCAAAGCACAATAATGGTTGATTGAGGTGAACGCAATAGGCCGTAGAGCTTGCACACTCAATGGTTAGTGGACAGAAGGCGCCGGTATGGAGCATTCCGATGCAAGGGTTTCTAGTCTGTTCGATCAGTAAAAAGGGGGCGCATATTCATCCGTTAATGTTTTTTTTTTCAAGGGATAGCTCCACTGTACTTGTCAATCCACAAAATGTTGAGTTAGTTTACCTCAAGTAATTGAATGCCAGAGAAAAAGTACTGCATCTTAATAGTAGATTGCTGAATAAGCTTATTGAGTCGTTTGATCACTGCTCAACAGTCTGTTTCAAGGCAGGATTTGTCGCCAGGTAGTGAAGGCTGAATGCAACACCGTAAATCCTAACACAAATGGATGAGGCCAGGTTCGCAGGATGCTATATGCTAAATGCACAATCGTGGCCGCCTTGTTGGTGAAGATTCGCCCTTGGAAGTAACGGTGTCGATTTAGCATGCAATTACTGGAACAACGACCTACTCATTGATGGCTCACTGGTCTTTGGATTGTATCAATGTACCGACGTTTAGTACGTCTGTATGCAAAAGCAAAATGTAGCGGTAGTGATCCTATCATTGAACGCTAAGGAGAAGTGCGTTCAGCACTGAATTCTGACGAGTGGCCAGCTAATCGGCAACTCACTCCGGCTGAGTACGATCACAAAACCACCTGCCACCAGGACATTTACGCTAATCTGAATAGAGGAGTGCACACCTAGCAAATCAGCAATATTGTTAGACAGTAAGACTGCGACTTTCGTGGAAAATTGCAGAGTTCCACAGTATTAGTTTCCGAGGCACTGCTGGCGAATTCGCAAAGGAAATCAAGACCGTTTCATAGTAATTGCAAACTAAACTAAAGAATTTTCAGTTTATTAATTGCTATTATGTAAATCGGGATTACTTTTCGTAAGACAGACTGTTTACGTTAAATTTAATTGCGATTTTGTACGCTATTGTTGCATCCACCTTTGCCTAAGAGGTGGTATCTATTTTAATAATTGCCTTTTTTAGCATATATGTTATTAATGCCTATAGGCTTGCCAGAACTGCAATGACAGGAAGACAAGCCTGAACAAATGCTTGTTTTTGACAATATATAATTTTAGTAGAGTTCAATGTAAATACTGATGTTTTAGTTAGCATATTGTCGTTGGCGATCTCTGAAGGTGAGTGTAAAAGTAAGAATAAATTGAGACTAACAAAACGTTGCATCTGTTGCTAGGAGTTGAAAGAACTGTGCTGCCGCGAGAATGTTAGGACATGCTGTCGAGGCCAGGTTAGAAAAATGCGATATATGCAATCGATGAGCGTCTCATAGGTAAAGCTTATTTCATTTATAAATCTGTGTGGACACAGCACCAATCTCTAATAGATTGCGCTGGTATGTTATCTGCTGGCTTTGCAAAACTTTGGTAAATATCGGATAAGTCATTCTTGGTCAAGCAAGGTAGATGAAAGGCCACTCAGATTTCATTGCTGCGAAAGATTGAATCTATTTAAGGTAGAACAGTTATAGATGACGTTTAGACATTAATATTTAAGCAAAAACAAGCCTTTACGATTGAACCCGATTAATTTCTCATAATTAAAAATTAACTCCTCTTCTCCAACATAGATCATACATAAAATTAGACCCTTTTTGCCTATTTATGCGTTTGGTATAGCAATGTCATCAGCAGATGTGATTTAATATTCAAAATTGCTCTAATTGTATTGTTGCGTGACTGCTTTGCTTTGTTTTATTGTATTGTTCCGATTGGTTGTCATATTCGGTATTTATATGATTTCTCATCCATGAAGTGAGTCTGTTGTTGTCAAAACTTATTTTTTGGATCGTTGTTATTTTGAATTAATTAGATCCCAGCATACTAGAGCTTAAGTATTTTGACGCAACGATAATGCAAATCTCTGTAGAACTGCATCACTTGTCTCCTGCTCACATTTTCGAGACTGTTCCGTCATATCTTAAATGAAAGGTGGTCTTTCTTGTGCCTAATTGTGTAAAACTATCACGTAAAGATAAAATTGGTTATGGCTTTTGCATCTTTTTGATATCAATTAATCTATATCTGTTAATCTTCCCCCAGATATGTTCATCTTGGTGATTTTTTGAATCCAATGCAAAATGTTCTTAAAGGAGATAATAGAGTCAATTATCCTGGCTAGGTCGTGGAGAATACTTGTGGTTCTCCGGTATTTTTAGGGTTGTGTGCGTTCCTAAGTCCATGTCTACAGCGTGCTCTACATTTATTTCCTACTCGTCTTATGTCTAATTATTTTTTCTCACCGTTACTGTCCATGGTCGCCTCTACCTTGATCTCTGTCGTCTATTCGTCTTCTATATGATTAGCCCAACTTGGACTCCACAACCTAGCAGTGTGAGTATTGGAAGTATCTTAAACAGTAACCCACCGGGTTCTGTCGAACAGTTGCAACAGGCATCAGTGAATCAGCTTGTCAGTGTTGTGGGAAGTTATGCGGCCGCTTCTGGTGGCCAAACCGTTATTCGAACACCATACGCGCCAAACACTCCGAGCACACCATTTCATGAACGTGATGGAGCAATACCACAACCTCAACTTCAGTGAGTTTTTTTGCCTATTTTGTTTCCTGTTCCACGAATACGGTATTTCTATCCTGGCTTTGGAGTACAACAGGTTCTGCTTCATTGTGTGGCAATGGAAACCTATTCAATTATGTCCCTGCCTTCACTACTAAGTCTTGTGTGCTCCTCTCTCTATTACCACGCCCCCCAAGCAGTGTTTGAATGAGTTTGTGCTTACCCACTGAAATCTGTCTTCATTCTCCTTTGGTTATTGAAAATAATTGCAAATCGGTTTTAACCTGGGAATGTACATTGACAAAATATACCTTTATTACCGTTCATGACTTCTGGTTACTCCTTTCCTTAGCGAAAAGCATGCACTTTAATTATGTTTGCCACAGCAAGGATTTTCAAGGCAAAATTGAACGTGGGAAACACTAATGTATAACGTTTCCCCCCGGTGGTACCTCTTGAAATTAGTCATTGGTTTATTTGGCAAAATTACTAGGTGTAGGTTACTTTATTGTTAAGCGACCTATTTGTTAAACAGTGCCCCCTCCAGACTCTATGCCATTAATTTGACTGCTTTATAAATTCCTGGTTATTTGCTCTTTTGCGTCTTACGTCATGTTTCTTTTGAAATTAACTCCATAAAGTTTTAGCAAACTTTATTAAAATGCGTCTTATTCCCCATTTTTTCACTTAGATTAAATTTACTCAAACCGTAGTTTTCTAGATTTTTACAATCCCAAACATTCTTTTCTCAATTTTACTCCACTCCAGTTGCTTCGTTACATACTTCTAACATTCTAATTGGATAATTCTGACGTTGGTTTAATTCGTCTTTTTTCAGGAATATCGTATGTACAGTTAACCTTGAAATAAAGCTGGACCTAAAACGGATAGCTCGGAGTGCGCGTAACGCTGAGTATAATCCAAAGCGTTTTGCCGCCGTTATTATGCGAATTCGGGAGCCGCGAACTACTGCTCTCATCTTCTCTTCTGGCAAGATGGTTTGCACTGGTGCCAAGAGTGAGAACGAGGCTCGTTTGGCCGCCCGCAAATACGCCCGCATCATCCAAAAATTGGGATTTGAGGTACTTTACCTGCTTATTAAGCTGTATTTAATCTACTAAGTTATCAGAGATTGCTTCAGGCGAATCTGTAATATTTCATCTAAATGCCAAGCTAATGTTTCCCTTGTGTTGCTTTAGCTGATGATGTATCTGGTGTAGTGAAAGTCTAATGTAAGTAAACAATTGTGTCTTTAACGGCAACTTTTAATCGGTCTATAACGCGGTAGTGCCGTTACTCAATTAACTGGGTCACTTTAGCGTTATAACTGGGACTGTCACAGACTGAGTCGTTTATGTATGTTTTTAATTTCACCCCTGACTTTGTTTAAAGCCACTAGGTTTAAATTTTCTTATATATTGCTTCAGGCTCACTTCAAAGGGTTTACGATTCAAAATATGGTTGGATCCTGCGACGTGCGATTTCACATACGATTGGAGGGGTTGAATGCTGCTCAGAAGAAATTCACCACGTAAGTGTCCTCTCTTATTAGAACAGATGGCCCAAACACCACCCAGGGTAAGTCAGAAGTTACCGGATTGTTAATGGGCGCGTGTGCCTAAGTCCGCTAGCCGTCATATAGACGATCGAATCATCGATTGCTTGTTGGGCGACTGTTGCTAGCCGAGGCAGTTTTTGAGAGCTTGTCTCACCGGCGTATTGTTTTGGGTAGAAAGTCGTGCCCCAGGAATACCAGAGACGCCAACTGAAGAACGTGTATTCATTGTTTAAATGTTTTTTTTTTCAAACAGACAAGTCACATGCCATCGATTTCATGTAAAATTCAATGGAATATTAAAAGGAGATACGATGGCCAGTTTCATTCAGTGCTTTAAGTCAGAAAGTTGGTACGAAAATCTTCCAAGAACTGAAAGGTTGAAGATCATTTGTAAAAGTGTTGCCTAGTGCCCAATCGAAGCCTTATCGTCTACACTTGCTCAATTCATCCAGTTGGGAAGATTGTAACTGTCATGAAGAATTTTCCCAAATATTTTAACAACTGTAGCAAAGGTGGTACTTTTCCAGATGAAATTATTTGAATCCCCTGAAAAGCTTAGTTAAGGTCAAGGGCTTAAGCAAATTACCACAAAGGTAGTGAGTTCTTGCACAAAAATAAACGGAGACTTGTGTGCTACCTTGCCCCTCGTAATTTTACTTGGTTTGAACGGGGTCGATATTTCGAGCAGCTGCTCTATTTGTGCTCTATTGGACCGTGTAAATTTGATCTGGACTAAACTTGTTAACCACCCATTTCTAACTTACCCTGCATTCCTTAACTTAGGATTATTGTCTGCCACCTGTAAGTTCTGGTGGCAGCGCTTTTTTGCTTTTCCAAGAGGACTCAATGAAACCACAGCTTAATCAAGAACCCTTACCTGTGTCTTTTGTTTTGTAGTTATGAGCCTGAGCTGTTCCCCGGCCTCGTGTATCGCATGCAGAAACCCAAAATTGTTCTCCTCATTTTCGTTTCAGGGAAAATTGTTTTAACAGGTAGTCTTTGTTACTTGGTTATTTGCCTACCTGTGACTCTGTGCATCAGTACTGTTTACTCGTGTCGCGTTTAGTGGCTTTCTTAAAGCGAAATCCTGTGACGTGCTCTAACCATTTACTGCTTTTTGGATGTTGAGGGTGCATAATTGGTGTAGCCCCCCTAAGCGGTGTTATTGTGGTATGAATGCTGACTTTGTGGCTAGGTAATGCAGTTTGGCAGCAAATCTACATCTACCGTTATAATAATCGGAGAATGTGGCGGGAAAAACTCGTTGCTACATAAGTTGTCGTGTTAGTCGAAGAGCAAAGTGATAGCACGACTTAAATCGATTGAGCGATGGACAATTATTATAATACTGGAGACTATTTTGCACCTATGAAATTAAGTACTTTGTTACACCTAGTAAGACTGGGAACGATTTACTGAAAGTGAGTCTACAGCTGTTTACGGCGTTAGGCAGTGTGGGTTAATATGTAATTCCCAATTTTCTAAATCAATTAATATTTTCAAAGGTGCCAAAGTGCGAGATGAGATTTACCAAGCCTTCAACAACATCTACCCAATCCTGAAGAATTTTATGAAGGTCGAGACTGAGAAATCGAGTTTACACCAACCAGCACTCACTGGGTGACCAACTTATTTTCCTTTCATGTATACAAACTCTTGATGCTTTCTTGTGCTTTCCCAATATCATGTCTGACAGCCTTGTCCTCCATCCCTGCCCCATGTCCCCTCCTAAGTCTTTTTATACATTTTATGGAATAGAGCTCTTTGCAGTGAATTTTTAATGCATTGACAATGAAATTAGCGTTATTGATGAGGTTTGTCTATAAAAGCGTGCTCTTTTTCTTATGAATACATGTAAATGTGTGATAGATTTCCATCGAGTCGATCGATTCTAAGTTTGCGTTTGTGGTATTTGTAAAGTTCGAATGCTCCCAAAGTGAACTCGTCCCCCATTGTGGCTCACTACGGAATGTGGAAACACGCGCCTGCCTCAAAATTTTGGCAGCATGTTTAAATGCTGCATTACTCGATAGCTTGGCAACGAGGAACTGGTGAGAGCGTTCCAACCCCGATATCCGTGTCCATTGTATTTTGTTTGGATCAAGTGTGCCTCGCGATGGGTTGTATCAATTAAGCATATCGTGATTTTGAGAACTATAACACGATAAATCTGCTCTCTTAGACGAATTACGATTCGATCACGACCCTTTTCATCTTTTCGACAGTTATTAATTTTTACTATTGAGATAATTGAAATGAGTGAAGTTTGCTTCACAATACGTCCGCATACAATGTTGAGACGAGGCATCAACACTAGAATGTAACTTTAATCGGCTTACTGATGAGGAAATTTTACCTAGAATCGCAAGTTGGCGTCATGGTCTGAAATGGATTAATCAATTCAATGATCCAACGTCGGGAGAATGTGTCTATTCGACCAGGTATTAAAGTGTCACTAGCTTTTTGCTTATTCATCATGCAACTTCCTGAAAACACAGACCCTTAATAACCTGACAAGTTGTTTGCCACAGTCAAGTAAAATGGATGAAATTAAATAATGATCTGGAGAGTCACCGAGGTTCGGTCAAGTCATATTCTTGTTTCAACTTTACAAAAAGATGTCAGTTGGGTTCCTCTACAGATCAGGGGATTTCTAAAAAAATTTGCAAATCAAGTCGGTTGTCTCATGTGTCTTATCCGTTTAATTCAGCAACTACATTCCTGCTTGTTCCGCTTTCTATGTATAGGTGGGCGCTTTTTCACTGATTTCGAACCTTGCAATATTTTGATCTAGCTGTTCTTTACAAGTCATACACCAAATTCACTGGCAATGTCAGATGCTTTTACCTATGATTCGCCATTAAGCTTATCTCGGTCACTGATAATATCGGGTTATCCGTTTCGATTATTCAAGCAAGGACATTTGGGGACAAACGAGAAACTGGGGTTGAAAGTATCAAAATTAACTTAAACGTAATCATTTGCGTTTTCATGCAACGGATCGCGCAAGTAACGCCTTTCTAAAGTTGTGTGAAGTGCAGACCTTGAGTTCACACTTGCAATGATTATTGGGAGAAAATTATCGAATTAGCTCCTTCTCATTAGTATGTACCCTGCCCTCCTGTCATACCGAACATCACTGTTGTCAAATTCGGTAAACCTGTTCCCCTCATGCCTATGTATTCACGGGCATACTACCCCAATTAACGGTCATCTTTTCAAAGCCTCTCGTCTGCATCTTCTCTCAGGTATCTTAGCTGTATCGTTGTCCACGCAGATTATTGGCCTCAGCGTGGATTTGAGTTTCAAATCGGGTCTCTGATACTCCCGAGCATCCCTTCAGGAAACCTGCCTGATGCAATTTCAGTGCAACCAGCTAAGCGTAATCGTCCACGTTAGCACTAGGCCACCGCCGAACAGCATTGTCGTGAGAGATTCCAATTCAATTATTTTGAGTTGTAACTACTATGTGTCTAGCGACTGTATGTATTGACGTTTAACGACATTAGGAGATCGATTATTTTGATGTGAAAAAATTCATGTTTACTGGAAAGTTACAACAAATAGTTAACCAGGTGGCTTTTAGGGTGTGCGGTACAGGCCTATAAATATTTGGGTGGCAAAATGCTTTTAAGCGCTGATGAGTAGTGGTGTCTGAGAGTGCCAGATCCTGGTTGGTGGTAACGTAAATGTAGATTTAGCTAGCTTTGGTATTCGCCAGAATCTCTACTGATACACCCAGGATGTTAAGCATGTACGCTAGAATTGCAGCTGCTTAAGTAAAGTTACTATCAACTCGGACGAGTCTTGCGGCAGAAAGTAGGCCGTGCGGAAAACGTCCCATTTCAAATCCACCGAACAGTTTTAACATACGTCAATTCGATAGCCACTTATCTACTTCCGGGGGATCCTAAGGATTTATTATAAGACCATAACTCCCAAAAGTAAATGACTGGCTTTTTATCAAAAATAAAGAGTTCAAATTAGCTTCTAATGCCATTTTCCTTTCCGCATATGTTCAGAGTTCGCTAAGTTCGAAGACCTAGAATTCAAATTTAGAGAGGTTCACATGGTGACGGTTTGCTCCTTAAGTCGGACACAGCTCGATAATTTGCTGGTTCACTCAAGTGATAAAAAATTCGATTTAACTAGTTTTTGAGTACTAAACCTTCGAAAATTTTCACAAGAGAAGCACAAAACCTATTTTCAATGAATTGTTGTGGCAGGAGAACGATGCAAATCATAGCAAAAATAAGTGACAAATAATTATTTAGGCCCCACATTCTGCCCCTGTCAATGCATTATAAACATATTGATTCCCATCGCCAGGTGTTTTCAAGCCAGATCAAGACCTTTGTTTGAGTTCTTTTGCAAGCATCACGTCTGGCGCCTTGGTCAAGTATATGCATTCGACCTCTCTGCGGCCTATGGCGAAGTTGACTTTGTTGAGGGATTTGTTGAATCTTTCATCACGTCGGGGTCACCAATTGTTGTGGGCCCCAGCATGTGGCCTTGAATTACGCCGGGGCCATTGAACTAACTCTGGCCTGATTACGTTTGCCTGATACCCGCGATGAAGGAAAAGACCGGAGAGGACGGGACACAACCGTTTACTTTAGAGCCCAACCAAAACTGGTGTCGTTGTGCCGTTGGTGGCATTTGCGCGTGTGTATTTATACCTCGGATGCGTGAGTCAGAGATGCGCTAACATCGAGACCTCGGTGTGAGGATAATCCAGGATCAATGTTCGTGCGAATGAGGGGGGAGTTGAGGATCCGCGAGGCTGGCAACATGCTGCGAAAAGGGAACCCTGTGTCGGAGGATAGAGCGAATAAACACGACCCACAACAACTTCTAGACTTAATTTTTTGAGGGAATGCAACAGTGTGTAAAACGTTTGCGTTCTCAAGTATGGTTTTGGGATTAATATCTTCCCAAAGGGCAAGACTGACATTTTATTTAAACCACCAGAGTAATGGCAATCTTTTTGCAAGCCAGTTTAGCTGTCGAGGGAGATACTTTAACTCAACATCAATACGAAGGAAATTAATGGTTAAATATTTAACTTCCTTCAAGACTAAGGACTTTAGCTAAAAGGATCAAAAAGCTGACTCAAGATGTGTTAATTTATTTAACTTGTGGTGAAATGAAAGTTGAACTAGCATTTACCGGAAGTTGTCCACTTCATTGGTTAATGACGTTTAAGGTTTCCGTGTTCACACATTCAAAATGCGCATTACAAGTTCAAGTTGATTCAAATAAAAAAAATGATACTTGTAGTGGTAGATTGACACTCAGGACTCCAACAATGAGTCCCGTAGAACTCGAGCGCAAAACGGAGACATGGTTGTAGGTGAAGGAATTTACTGTCACGCTTGTTTGTTATGCAAAGCTCCTCTGAGTTTATTGATTATTACGCCAAATCAATAGCAAATTAAATCAATAATCCGAATGTGGGTTACTTGCAGCAAATTGTAGGCACATGCGGTCGATATGCAGTTGAACTGTAGTGGATCGTCAGAGAAAGCTTTCAAATGGAAGCTTGTCCCAACAAATTTAACTTCCAATGAGAAACGCCTGGCCTTCCATCTTAGCTTTAATAGACCCCACATGCATGTAATTTTGGAAACCATACCTACGCAAGGAGTGAAAATAAAAGATTGCATCCACTTGACTGTGTCTTGTCACCGCATTGTTTATTTTCGGATTGAATGGACGTCAATGAGGAATGAGGTTGCAATACATCTACACTGCTGCCAAAATTTATGTAATTAACCTTAGTCGGATAATTAAGAGCAATATATAATTCACACATAATTTTGATTTATATGCTTATTCATACTTGTAATTAGTAGAATAGCATTGATTTGTCTGCCCATTTTGATAATGGATCCGAAAACTTGAATAATTAAGTTCAAGAGGCATCAGGTACAATCGGCTTCTTTATTTTGTCTCATTCTTTTGGTTATAACTATTTATGGTTCTAATTTATCATGAGCATACAAAGCCGAGCTGCGAATTCGATGTTGATACCAAACATCGAGATTAATACGTGGAATGTAAACATTCAAATTGTGAGGAATTTTGAAGAAAAAAACAAGTTTTCGGCTTCCTTGTGGGTTGTACTATTACTCGTTTAAAAAAACCTGATTTATGAAATCGATTTTGGGTTGTCACCGTCGAATCGTCAGTAATTGAATACCGAGTTCATCATCGGCTTTCGATATTAGCTTAATCCATTTGCACATAATTTACAAGGAAGATAGATAAAGGACTTGCCTAAAGCATGCATCTTAGTCCACGAACGGATATTGCAACCGTCAGTTAATTCGACACAGAATTGGGTGGCTTAATTAGACGTACCCAGCCATAACTCAAGATTATTTGGTAAGTATTCTGATATGTGAGACAAAATGCACAAATACGTAGATACGCCTTGATGGGGTACTTGTTCAAGGTGAATTTTGCCAACTTAGATTTCGAAATGATTTATATGACTTAAAATTGACGGTAAAGAACGCAGTTCAGTTTATTTTATGATTCGATCAAAAATACAAATATAGGAGTGCAGCTTAGATGACAAATGGGGATTTTTCTTTAATGGCCGCCCGTCGTTTGTTGAGA